ACTTCAAACTAGACATCTGAACATATTCAAATAAACTAGGAAACAAACTCTTCAAAGCCTGAAAGGATAAATGACCCAGCCTATTATGCCAAAGCATCACCTGATCAACAAACTGAGAAACAAAGGATTTCTTAGTTTCACTATCTTCTTGATGAGCACTTCTTCCAAGTAGGTAGATTTCATTTGTCTCACGGCCAGTCTCAATCACCTTGCTTGTCTCCAGATCTTGAAAAACACATTGATCCAGAAAAAATGTTACTAAACAATTCTGTTTTTTTTTTTGTAATGCTACTAACTGAGAGCAAGCTAGTATTAAGCTTAGGAACATGCAAGACGGAGGATAGGGAAATGGCATTAGATAACTTGATGTCTTCTTTGCTAAAAGTAGGAACAAGGGATCCATCAGCAATGGACACTTTGTATTTACTAGAAGATAAATGATAGGTAGAGAAAAGTGATGGCAATCCAGTCATATGGTCAGATGCTCCTGAATCTATTATCCAAGAATATTCTGTTTTACCTAGAGCTGAAGCATGATAAGCTAAGGCCCGATTACCTGATTGAGCAAAGGATGAGGTTGAAGGAGCTGATGGTGGCTGAGGAGATGAGACTGAGTTACTAACTTCACTTTCCAATTGTGTTAGAGCATCTTGGACAACAGCTAGGGTGTGTAGAGGAGTGCCTCTTGAGGTTGTATTATCAATGTTGACAACCATATTGGCATTCCCCTTTTTGTTTTTGATTTTTGCTGGAACTAGATGTGGATGCAACTTCTAATAAGTGTCTTTAGTATGTTTATATTTATTGCAATGCTCACATACTAGGTCCTTCTTAGCTTCCTTCTTCATATCCCTTTCATTATTACCCCCAGATTTGGGCTTAACTGCTGCCAGGGCTGATTCGAAAGGYTGTTGTTGTAGCATAACTTTTCTCCTAATCTCTTCATTGTGCACTAGGGAATAGGCCTGGGATAGAGTTGCACTGTCTCTTGTCAACAACTGTTGTTTCACAATATCATATTCAGAATTTAGACCAGCCAGGAACTCAATCACTCTATTAATTTCAACTTGCTTTCTGTAAGTTTGTGCATCATTCTGACTCCCATTCAATTGTTTCAAGGTGGTCAATTTCATACCACAGCGATTTTAAGGTTGAAAAATAAATAGAGACATGTTTCTCTTCTTGCTTGAGATTTTTAACCTCACATTTCTACTCATAAGCCCTAGCAACATTAAGGGGCTGAAAGTACGTTTCTTTCACAACATCCCAAATTTTCTTAGTTGTTTTTGCCCATAAGTAGTTTCGGCTGATGTGTGGCTGCATAGAGTTGCATAGCCATGTCATCACCAAATAATTCTTTTGAATCCACTTAGCATAAGTGGGATCCTCCTTAGTTGGTTCCTTCATATCCCCCAACAAATAGTTTAGTTTTCCTCTACCCCTAATGACCATTGTGGCTGATTGGGCCCATTCTAAATAGTTTGATCCCTCAAACTTAATAGTTGTAATATGGAAAGTGTTCTCAGTCATGTTACCTGAACCAAAAACACCCTCCTCCTGGCTCTTAAACTCCATTCTTGGTTAGGAGTTAATCAAAACCACCTTCTAATTACTGTAACAATCAGTTTATTGGGTATGAAACAAGTAAATCTAGAAGCAGAAACCAGATTCAGCAGTACTGGGTCTTTGAATAACARAGAATAGAAATCTGATATCAACCAAGCTTAAATCACAAAAGTCAAGTCTAACTCTTATCCAGACACAGTAACAGTCCTGGATTTCAGCTATATAACCGTACCTCTCAGATTAAGCTATCCTTACTGCTGACCTCAAAAAAGGATGAAATCTTACCCAGAAGTTTCTGAAGAAGAACTGATCTTGATCCAAAAAAAATCTTCTAGAAATTCTGATCGTCACCTTCAATCTTGCTCCAAAGAACTGACCTTGATTCTGATCAACCTCAGAAAAAAATTCTGAAAACAAACTAATCTTGAGAGAATCCTCTTTAAAAAACTTCAATCTTGATCAGAAACAAATTGATCAACACCTCCAATCTTGATCAAAGACCTAATCTTGATCACCAATTCTTCTCCGATTCTTCCTGATTACAAGGAGCATCCTCCGATCTTCGGACAGTTGCTGAAGGCTCCTTGTAACCTCCAAGAATTAGCCGGAAAAAAAAAAATTAAGCTTCCAGCCCTAATTAATTCTCATGTGGTCAACTGAATTAATTCCACATGAGATTTCCTAGATCGAGTGCTCTGATACCAAGTAGTCGTATAAGACTACAATCAGCCTTGGGTTTCGAACAGAAAAGAAAAGGAAAAGATAAGAGGAGAGGAAAAGAGAAGTAGAGAAATGGAGAAGGAAAATTTGTAGAGAGGTTTTTAGAAAAGAGAGTGGTTGGTGTGTATTAAATAGCAGCCCCACTCCTTAATTTATATGCATAGTTTCCTAATTGTAAAAGAACTTTAATGCTTACATGGCAATAAAAGATAAGATTAAAATAAAACTAATCCTAGATAAGATAGGATAAAACTTATCCTACTAGGAAAACTGATCCTAATCAATTAAATCTAAGTACATCTCAGGGTGCCACACGAGTACTCTTAATGTGGGGTCCACAGTTTCCTACACTCCTTGAGGCTACTTAAAAGTTCTTCACAATCGTGTGGGTTTGAAGATATAAAAATTTCTCCAAAATGCTGATAAAAAGTTTCCTTTATTTGCTCCTTAGTGKCCACCCAGATACTTGGTTCCTTTTCCAATTGGGTAATTCTAATCCTACTCCTCTTCATTGTTATGGCATGAAAGAACTTTGTATTTTTATCCCCATATTGTAACCAGTTATTCTTGATTTTTTGGCCCACATTTGTTCTTCTCTTTTTACCTAGATCCCTAAATTTGTTTCTACCCTATTTTGGACTTCCTTATTTTTAGCTCTGTCTCTATTTCCAATTTGAGCCTTTCAATATTTTTCCTTATATCTCCAAAGACTTCTTTATTTCAAACTTTTAAACATTTCTGAAGATTATCAATTATTTTTTTAAGTTGATCTTGGTTTTATCCAGATTGAGTCTTAGTCCAACTCCTCTCCATGGTCTCTTCAAAATCCTCAAGGTTTAGCCACATCTCGCCCATTCTGATAGGTCTTCTTCTCCACTTGAAGGTTTTTCATTACTTACCAAAATTGGTAAATGATCTAACATGAGGGTTATTAGAACTTTAACAAGAGCATCTTCAAAAAAGATCTTTCCAAGGTTGGTTATAAAGGACTCTGTCAAATTTTACTCTGATATTTCTATTTCCCTCCCTTTTATTTGATCAGGTGTGGTTGCAGCTATGACTACAGATTTCCAATCAGACCACAATCATTCAGCAGATTTTTATTTGTCCTCACATAGGCAATCTACAAGGCCTTCACCCTTCCTTTTCTTGAGGATCGAAGACTAGGTTCAGGTCACCACAACACATCCAGGTACCCTTAATTAAACTTGCCAGTTTCTTCCATCTTTAAAAGAAGGTTTTCCTTTGCTGTTTATTGAGTTTCCCGTAAACAAAAGAACAAGACTAGAGCTGCCCCTTACATCCTTTATTTTTTGCATGGATAATATTTTTATCAGCATAAAGAATCTTACTTATTACATCAATCTTCCAAAACAGGGCTAGACCACCATTTAATTCCTCTGCATCACAGATACAACAGTTCCAGGTTTTTAGGAAAGCTTTTTTTCTTAATAGAATTGCAATTACAGCTGAGTATTTTGTGTGTAATAGAATGAAAATAAAAGAGAATTCTACTTCTTGAAAGTCTACTCAAGTTCATGGAGCGGGAGCAACCTGCCTAAGTACAGCTGCATCCCTTCTAGTGGATTGGATTTTCAGAATTCAAACCCTTTTCACACTTAAAAAAAGTCTGGATTTTAAGCTTAATTTAGAAAGAGTATAAATATTAATATATACAGTACAAATATATACTAAATAATATAAAATGTAAGATTTTATACTCTACAAATTTATATTTATATTCCTTCCAAATTGAGCTTAATTAGCAAGAACACACAAGGAGCGTTATTCGAGGAAATATTGTGCTTAATAAGGACCACAAGAAGCATAGCAAGCTTGCATGTGTTGGATTGCAAGGGTGGAGCCTCAATGTTTGTATCACACAGGTCGATTAGTTGTAATTAAGTGTACTCTCTCCTCGGTAGTCGGTCCCTTCTTATTACATGGTTSTGAATTTACTACCAAATAAAGTAGGCAACTGGTGCTATTTTATGAAAAGCAAAGAAGTTGTAAGGTTGGCGTTTCTGGATTCATGGCTGAATAACAACAAAACGGGTTTCTTGTTCACTTTTCCTATTAACGCTCTACGAATTGTATCACTACACATCTCTATTATGAAATGAAAGATGTGTGGCTGCAACCCAGAGACCTCTCACCTCAATGCTTGAATGTAGTTCCTTTTCCTTTCCTTTCTCATAACCATTTCTCAAGTTTTTTCTTATGTCTACTGAAATCTTTTTAACTCTAATGATGATAACTCTCATTTATCCACATTTGCTAATTGTGCTGTATTTGCATAACACATTCAGAAAGCAAGATGCTGAAGAGTTTGCCTTTCTTTCCCATTAATTTCCATTCTCAATATTCCTAATAGGCTAATAATCATATTCATGTAATGCCTTATTATATATGTACACAAATGAAATGGCAAAATGCTCTACTCTCCAAATCTAGCTTATGTGGAAATTTACAGTAGGTGGACACAAGGTTTAAAGTATCGATATGTATCGTGCTGATAACCTCCTGATACGCCCCAGGGATTGTATCGTGTCAGCCACTGATTCATAGGGTTATTGGGCGTTAAACCGATCCCTCTGAATCGGTGGGCTGATTTGATCTCAATGCCGATAAATAAATAATATAAATAATCGCAGGAAAGGATACTCATAGATAAAATACGATCCTTCCGTCTCTCTGGATATTTGGAGATATGGGTTATTGAAATCATGTCTTTTAACCATCAAATTAGAAAAGTACATATTTTACCAACATGAACAAAAGATGAAGATACAGAGATTTTACTTAAACTTGCAGTGCAAGAAGAATGTAGATAGAAAAAAAAAACGAACCAGCAATTCACAATCTCGCACTTTGCTCCTCTGTTTTTCTCGATTAAATTTTTAGCTCCGCTTGACGGGGTCGAAGTTGGCGACGCCAATGACAGCGCCAACTATAACGCTAAGCACAACTCCACCGGCAACAATGCTGAGTAAGAAGTTCTTGAGAGATGGGGTGATTCCAGATCCAGCAGCCTCGGCCACCTCTGGGATCACCATCGAAGCGGTCAGTGCGGCAGCTGTCAATCCCGTCACAGCCTTCTCCTTCAGCGACGCTCGGACTTGAAGCTTGGACCCGGCTCTTGAAGTTGTGGTCGCCATGGCCTTTGATGGCCTCACTGGCAACGGCTTCAAGAAGGCCTCTGAACCAATGGATACCCTCTTGTGGCTTGCAGAAGTCAATGGCATCGCCATCGAAACCGCGGATGTGGATGCCATCTCTGTTTTCTGTCTGTGTTCTGCAATTTTTTACAGGGAGGAGGCTTCGATGTAGGAAAAGCTGTCGTAGGCTTGTAGCGAGTGTACTCTGTTTTGAGAGGATGGGAGGAAGCAAAGTCCTTAGTAGATAGAAGGATTCTGATTAGAGGTGGGAATTCGAGATCTTAGCTGCCATTTCATCACGCTCGTCCCACGTGGCTTCTTCTCCGCCCGGTTTTCATTGATAAGGTTATCGGTTCTCTGGGTCTACCACGTCAGCATATTTCCCGCTTTGAAAATCCCTTTCAAATTATCAGCTACGCCCGATGACATAGCCTTGGGCTAAAACCTGAAATCACGGCCTTTGGATGTATTTTGGGCCCCACATTCAACTCTAACGGCTGTGATTCACGGCTTTAGCCCACCAACGGACGTAGCAGATCTTTCTCCGAAATCTATACCCTTGAAACAATATACTCTGACACAGAAGCGTGTGGATTGGACGGAGACAGATCGTTGATCAGCTTTCAGACAGGCCAAGTTCGTGCTCGCACCGTGGGTTCACGGGATGAGTAAACCCGCCAACCAGAAACGGCCATGTCATCGGGCGAGTAAAAGGTAATACAAAAAGACAAAAAAAATCAGAGTTCGCCTGTCCTCATTTCGAACTCCCTCCCTCCACTTTTTCGTTCTCCTCCACCGGTCCTACCACAGCAGCATTCACCGGCATCCTCACTTCATACCGGCGTTCGTAAATGCGGAAGCTACCGGCAATGAGATGGATATCATTCGACGTCCGGCGTCCGTTTTCAAGCCCTTCTTCTTCTTCGTTCAGTGAAACAGGAGCCGGTGTGAGCTGCGGTTTTTCGACCTGTTGAAAATAGAAAGGAAAAAACAACATTAATTTTGTAATAAGAAGAGGAAAAAGATAATTGGAAGAAGAAGAAGAAAAAGAAGAAGAAAGGCCTGAAAACGGACGCCGGATGATATCCCTCTCGCAGTCAGTGGCTTACATATTTACAGACGCCTGTGGATGCTGCTGTGCTAAGTTCGGTGGAGGCAAATGAAAAAAATGGAGGGAGAGAGTTCGAAATGAGGCAAGCAAACTCTGATTTTGGCCAAAGTGCCGTTAATGTTGCCTTTTACTCGCCCCGACGACGTGGCCATTTCTGGTTGACGGGTTCACACATCCTGTGAACCCATGGGTTCACATAACGTGGACTAAAAAACAACCCCAACAGTAATTAAATACAACCAAAGAAAGAAAACTCAAGTCGATAATAAATTGAGAATTCTAAAACTGCAATTGCTTGCGGTGTAAATGCCATTCTACACTATGGAATATAGTCATGATTAGGGTGTCCATGAAAAACCGAAAAATCAAATCGAATCGAGAAAACTGAATCGGAAAATGCGATTAATTAAATCAATTGGTTTAGTTTTGATTTGGTATTTTTAAAAAATCGAACTGATTTGGTTTTTGGTTACCCTAAAAAAACCGATGGTTAATCGAACCGACTGATATATATATATATATATATATTTTAAATATATGTCACATATTTTCTATATATTATATATAAATATATATGTATTGTATTTATAAATATATTATATATTTTTATAATATTTATAATATAGTATTATACATATATTTATATAATATGTATTATGAATATAAAAAATCGAAGAACTGAACTGGTCAAAAAATGAAACCAACATACCGCTTAACCAGTGGTACCGGTTCGGTTTTGGTTTGGAGAAATTAAAAAACTGATAGGACTGGTTCGGTTTTGGTTTGGAGAAATTAAAAAACCGGTAGGACCGGTACGGTTTGTAAAAAATGTCCATGGTTTGGTTAACCGAACCGTGGACTCCCCTAGTCATGATCCAGTTTAGGAGAGTGTAAATGGGGACAAAAAGGTAAAAATTTTACATAAAAAATCAGTGTTAAACATTTCATGTAAAAACTTAAGTATATGTTTGGCATTGATACTTCATATAAGAAAACGGTGCTGCTAATGTGTGGGTTGGAAGCACCGTTTTCTCAAAAAATGGTGTTTTTTTCTGTTTGGAAACATTGATGCCAGGTAAGACTTTTACTGGAGCAGCAACAACACTTCCTGTTTGGTACCAATGCTCCATGTATATTTTTCAGCATTGGTACCCATTATAGGAAGTCCATGTCACTGCCACATCACGTTCTCATTGGCAGCAACAAGTTGCAATATGAGAAAATGCCAAATTTGACATTGCTCCAAACCATGCCTTTTCGATTTCCAATGTGTGACTTGGAACATTGTTTTTTTATAAAAAATGGTTCCAAACAAATAGGCRTTTCATGGAGCACTATTTTTTCAGACATGATGCTGATGTATCGTGTTTTCTGGAGCAACGGCATTAATGCCAAACAGACGCTAAATGAACGGAGTTTTATATTTGTACGTTAACATCGCTACCAAATACTTGTCAAATCTAACCGGAGTGCAATATAACACATGTCCGGAGTTTATACCACAAACAAATATAGCCAAAGAGCCCACTTAAGAGGGCTTCTGCTGATTGAGCCACTACCGAAAGAGATCAAATCAGCCACCCACAAGATTGCCCCCCACAACGTTCCACAGTACATCCCTGCGGTGTATTGGTAACATCTCCCAGTGAAGACATCATCATTTCTGGTATATCATCGAGAGATGTTCTCAATACACGGCGGGGATATGCTGTGGGACATTGTGGGGGACAATTTTGTAGGGGGCTGATTTGAACTCCTACCGAAAAGCAGTGGTGGTTGAGCATGCCTGTTTTGGATATGCTACTTTGGAGTAACTTCACTCAATAGCCATAAAAATGGCATTCAAAACACACGTCTGTGTTCCGGATTTTTACAGAACATAGCTTCTGCGTTTTTCATGTGGAGTACATCTTGAAACACAAGAAATGAAGAATCCCTCCCAACCGGCACTAAGAATTTAAGGGTCCATATGGTTTGTAACTCTAATTGAAATTAGAATGGTCTATTCCTATAATTTGTTTGATTTAGATAGGAATGAAATGAAAATTAAAATAAGCAAGAATGAGGTTTTCTTTGTAAGGGAAGGGTAAGGAATGACCATTTTCTCAAATGGGATAATGCCATTTCAGCAAAAATAGGAATACGATTCGGCCCAACCAAATAGTTGGAATCGGAATAATCTATTCAGATTTCGATTCTAAACCCCTAGTCATGCAAACTAGACGGGCCAAAGCACATTATACATGCAAAACTTAAGAAAACCTCCTTTAAATTAATTCATGCAGCTTCATAATATAAGCTTTTACTTTCCTTCTTGGGAAACTGGTAAGTCTGGTATATTATGTGCGAGAATTGAAACTCAAAACTATGTTCTAAGTAATCATCATCCATCCATATGCCTTATCCAAGGTTCAAATTATTGACATGTATCGGCCTGTATTGGCCGATACGTATTATTCTGGGACCTCTCCCACACACCCCTACAGTGAGTGTATCGGGGGCCTGACCGGTTTAGGGGGGTGGATGAGCTCTAAACCAGCCCCCTTGAACTGGTTTAGAAAAAAAATTAAAAAAAAATGTAAAATAAAAAGGTATCGATTTGCCCGATATGCCCCTATCGACGTATTGGTGTATCAATATTTTGAACCTTGGCCTTATCCCAATTATATGGGATCAGTTGTCTTGTTTCCCAATCCCTTCTATTTAATGGTTTCAATCATTTCATTGTGAAAGCCAGATCCACTCCCAACAATAAAACATTGCAATAGTATCAAAACCAAATTATAATATCACCATTTAGGGGGCATTCCTTTTTTTTGGGATTTTGAGGGGGGAAAGTTGGTCAATGGGATTTTGGTTCCCAGTGACCAAGAATCCCATGTTCTTTTTTTAGATTTATGTGGGAACCAAGGAAAGTTTATTTTCCTAGGTAAGCGATACTCATCTCTAGGTGGTTAAATAACTTTCCCACCTAGGGGGAAGGTTGCCAACACTTGAATGGGACAAAAAGACCCCTTTTAATAATTAATTTTTATGGCTAAAATGGTCATTACCTTATTTACATAAAAAATAAAAGAACATGGGTAAATACACTTACCAAAAAACACTTACCTAGGTAAGTGCATTTACCTAGATAAGTAACTTACCAAAAAGCGAACGGGGCCTTAATGGCTCCAAAGATATCAATGGAGGATCATGCTCGTGGAACAATAATACTTGAGAATATAATGCTTCAATAAACACACTTTTCTTGTTAAAGATATGTTGGGTTAGGTTCAGGTTGCCCAATGGCTCAACCCAACTTTTTTTCTGGTTGGGCTTGGGCTAACCCGACCCCATTTGCACCCATTGAGCCTGCACATAGCTAAATTTGGTTGTCTGTGTTAGAATGGGGATAGATTGCTGGCAGTTGTCTTGATGTTTTAGATGGAAGAAGTGAAAAAAAAAATCTAATCAAAGACAAATTTTGGTGCATGAACTATATAATGAAGTGAAAAATGTGAATCAATGATAAAATGATATGTCACAAACGACATCTTTAACATTGTTAAGGTCTTGATGGTGAATGCACCTTGTGAAAAAAATGTAAATAAATGAAAAATAAATAGACTATGTGTGGTCTTTAATACAATAAATTGAAATCTTGGATTTAATGTGTAACAAATCTATACTACTTTAGAAAGCACTGATGGCCTCAAGAATATTTCTGTAATTTTCTAAGGACAAAATTTACCCTTTTATATTTACATTTATTGATAAAAAGTGAGGGCAAATAGGATAATCGGTTCTTGATATTAAATGAGTTTAAAATAGGTAATTTTAAGATATTCAATGCATTAAAATCTCTCTCATTAAATCCAATATTTAAGTTATTAACTTGCATTCATGTTCATTGAATCATATATTTAAGTCATTTTTATTTCTTCTCATCATTAACTTTTATTAATTAAATTCATACTTAATAAATTAATAATTCCAATAACATAGAAGTTTATACTTTTAAAACCTACCTAACAAAAATAGCCTTTCCATCAAGGTGATGGTAAGAAATTAAATCATTTTGGATCAAATGGGTCAATCCATGTTGCCACGATTAAATAATAAAATTAAAAAATAGATAAAATGGAAAAAAATAGAAATTAAACAAAAATTGGGAACATTTTTAACATACATATTAAACAATAATAAGTATGATAAATAAGAAATGTTTTTATTAATGATGAAAATGGAATGTAAAATTTAAAACCAATTAGAAATAAAAACATTTTCCTATTCCACTAATTAAATCCTATATTTAAGATATATTTTTCTCATCATTAAACTCTTGTAATTAAATCCACAATATTAATTTTAATAGTATAAAAATAAATACTTTGAAAAGTAATTTGAAAACAAAACCATTTTCTTTCCTCTGGTGGTGGGCAAGAAATTCGACCATTTGGGGTCAAATGGATTAATAAATAATGCCATAATTAAATAATAAGAAATTAAAATAAATAACTATGAAATGTAAGAAGTATTTTTATTAATGATGAAAATGAAATTCTAAATTTAAAATCTAACTAGAAACGAAATGATGTCATAGTCAAATAATAATTTTTTTAATAATCGAAAATACAAATAATCACAGAAATAAAAAAAAGCTAAAGAAAATTTTGAGCACATATCTAATGTTATATATTTATAAAAAATAAAATATTGGGTACATCTCTAATATTATGCATTCATTATATTGAACAAAAATAAGTTTTATACATAAAAAATAATTTTATCAATGATGGAAATGTAATACAAAATTTAATGTCATCCTAAAAATCAAACTATTTTTCTTTTTAGATGGTGGGTTAGTGTATTGAGTCAAATGATACCACAAACAAAGAAAAATTAAGTGCGATAAATAAAAATATTTTATATAATGTAAATGAAATATATAATTTAAAGGGAAAATTATAGTCAAAGTTGGTTGTACATTTAAAATTATGTTGCAGGTTGGTCCAAAAACCAACAAAACTCTGACAACCAGCTCTACGTTTCAAATTATAAAAAAACCCCACCATGTCATCGAAG